CTGTAAATGAACTTAAGATTGCTGTAGTTGCTTTTAACCCTTCCCAAACAATGTCAAGGTAAGACTGGGAATTAGTTGCCTCCTCCAAATATTAACTATGACATAGTGTAAACTATCCTGCCGCCTGCTTCTGATAATCAGTAACAAACACGGTGGCTTGGAAACTGCAGAGAGCACTCAGCATTGCAGCAACAGGGAAATAACTTTCAACTGTCACTTTTGGTCAATGAGAGAATAAGTGCTCGCAGTGACAAGCTGAAATTTCAAGTAGAGACCTACAGAAATATAATTCCATGTCAGGCAGAAAGGTAAGCAATACCTCTCCTCATACTGCAAGGCACTTACTGCATCTGTGTGTGGGCGGGGGGAGATATAAAGGTCAGTGTATGCTTGGCAGAGTTGAGTACTGTACTGTCTGCAATTGTCTTGGCTCAATTGTCCTTTTAAATCCCACTCTGGTCTATCAGCAGCAACAGCGCCAGAGGTGGGTGCTCCACCCTGAGAGGGAGGGACTAAAACCATTCCTGTCTGATAGCCTAAGCATAAAATTTGGCATGACTCTAGCTTGCTAACAGAGTTCCTAGATCAGACACCACACTAAAACCAGAGATGAAAAGTCCCTGGCTTGTTTGTCTGTTCCTACTGGCATAATGAGCCAAACAAAAATAATTGAACCATGTGCAACAGCATGCTGACTCACTGATGTGCAAACCAGGGCAATCAGAACACATAACAGTATGTAAGCCAACAACAAACCATGGCTTCTGTGGTTTATTACTAGAAGGCAAACCATCATTTGGTCAAAAGTAGAAGTCTGGAATTGGTGACAAGCTACTGCTTAACAAACAACAGAATGGCTTAGAAGTATGTGTGAACACACTGTTATGGCAGGTTTAGGGTGACTGATATATTCTATTCTAGGTACGTCTCAAAGAAGCATACTTCTTGCAATAAGCATACCAATACATATCGAGGACTAAACTGCAAGATGCAGCATTTGTTCACATCCATCTTTGTCCCCCATGTTCTCTTCTCCATCTGTTTTTTTTCCCACTAATTAAGTTTAGACTTAAGTTCCTCAGGGCAGCAAATCATAGCTTTTCTTATGATACTCTTTAAGGTCCTACGTATAATCATCTAAGCATTTCAGGACGACTACTGTAAACTGGACACAATGTCAGGAAAATTAGAGGACCTTATTGTATTCATTGTTTCGCAGAATTCTGAGGGGCTATGTTTAGATAAGCAATCAGTTTACTGCACTATCATGGTGGGAAATATTGACCAAGTGCAAACTTAAAATAACTTATCTTCCCCACCCCTCCATCATAATATAAACTATAATTGAAATACAGCCTCCAAAAGTGTAAAAGTAGATTTAAATAGACAAAAGGCATAGCAATACCCAGGGAATCTTATAGACCAACTCAATATGATCTAAGTGTTGCTTTTAAGCGCTTCTCTTGAGAACAGTTTTTCTACCTTTTCACATGCTCCCACCACCAGTTTCCCTAGGAACAGCCTCATACAGTCATCCTACACTAAACCTGAAACTCTCATCAGCTACATACAATAACCAACCAATGCAAAATAACACCAGTTACCAATCCATCTTTTGTTAGCTCGTATAACAGGGTCAGCTCTTCTTACACTTAACATAACACTATTATGCCATTCAAATTAAAAACGAAATCCTATGGTTCTCACACTTGTAATTTTTCTTTCACAGTTGTTTTCTGATAAAAAGATTTCTAACCTTTTAAAGTTCACAGGCTCAGATATATTAAACATAAAGACCCGTAAAGAGAAATGCTTTTAAAATACACCATCCCGACACACAAACATGCATACAAAAATAGGATGAGTTTTAACTCTTCAGTCATACTTGTTTTTTGGAATATGCCATTTGAGTTAAACATAAATTGCAACATATACAGCCAACTACAGCCACTAGATTTCTTTCCTTAAAACAAGATACTGGTGTTATATGACCATTACTCTTCAGTTGCTGCATACAGTGGGAGATGAAAGCTGGAGAGAGAATGGAGCTATTCTGTTTGCCAGTGATATTTGAATTTTCCTATGCTGGAAAGGGTTTGAGAAGTCTATTCAACTCCTCCTGCTGTAAAGAACTATGCAGCAGAAGCTATGAAAACCTCACATTGCTCAACAAACTTCCAAAGAATTTCTATCCAATGCTGGATAATTTCTGACTACTGTTTTCTGATTCTTCAACTTAGCCCCAGAAGCCAGCTTGTCTTAGACATGGCAAATTTTAGTTCTTAGAAGCTATCCTTGTGAGCCAAGAAGCTGCTATGCATATGTCTCTTTATTCTCCAATTCTTCAGCCACAAGCTCTCTGTATAATTCTCCCCCACCCCAAGCCGCATGTTCAAATTGCCACATGGTCATTAAAAAACCCAGTCAGCCATGTTACTCTCTCACTGTCCCAAGAGAATATGCATATTCTCTTTGACACTCACAAAGCATACTCATTGCAGGGCACATATACTTTACAACTTTTGTTTACAAGAGAGTTCACATTCCTCTACAATCAAGTAATATGGGAGGAATTTATACACACCTCAACTTGCAAAGCAAAGATGGTATATTTAGATGCCAACACTGGTTTCCCCCTCATACACACATATCTGCAAATACACAGATCGTGCGTATGTAGCAAGGATGCAAAGGCATTAAAGAAGGTTTCTCCTCAGTCAGGAATAAAGCAGAGGGCTATTTTACTCTTCACAGCTCAGTGAATCCCTTGAGCTTAACCTTGTCCACATATCTTAAAGCACAATGCCTTTTTATTGACTGTGCCAGTCAAAATGAGTTCCTGATCAAAGCAGTGTTGGACCAAACTAACACTATCCATGGGCAAATTTCACAATTTAAATAAGGAAAGAGCAAAGTATACTTGATGGACATTCAACCTCCTGCCTTACTTTATTTGCTATTCAGCCAGCCCTAGCTTCCAGCTAAAGCTGTTGTTGATACTAGATGAGATCGACCTGGTAACTGTGACAGGATGATGTGGCACAGGATACAACTAGTTTGATGAAGCTAAGCAGTCCTGGGTCTGATTAATGTTTTGCCTGAAGTAACCTGGAAACCCATGTACAGCTCCTTAAGTTTCATAATGAAGGAAAGGTAAAACATAAGTGTGGTAAATAAATGAGAGTTTGTGTACTTATTTTAGGGTAATCCAAAGATGCACTGCTTTGGGTTTTCTTATAGAAACGTCCTGAACGATCTAGTTTGAGTGCAGTGATGTGGGGGTGGAACATTTTCCAAAATGGACAATTTCCCCTTTCATTGGTTCATTAGTGAAAATGAATGGGTGCCAGTTGCAAGTACAATATTGGACAAGCTTGGCAGTTTTGACATTGTAATTAATGGTTTCCGGATGGTTACCCCTAACAAGTATGTGACAGAACACATATATTATAGAAATACATACATATCTCCCACTGAATTGAAGTAGTAAAGACAAAACTGAGGGTATGCCAACAACCGTAGTAGAAGAGCTAAATTCTTCCAAGTGATGAGTGGTGGTCAGCATACCAGGCTGCTAAAATTAGTGTGTCAATTGTCCTCAGTACCTTTTCCAATTCAAAATTTTCCACAAAACCCACATCCCTGCTTGAGAATAGAAGCAATTTTGCTCATTACTGAATAGATGTGGGCATATGTGCATGAATAATGTTAACAAGCAAAACTGTGCCAATGATGAATATTCAGTACTTAGTCAACATGAAGTATAAAAGGAACAGACAGCAGATTAAAAGAATCTTAAAAAGCAAGAGACAGGCTGACACCTTAGCCTTAAGCACACTTTGAAAAATACATTTTTTAATCACTTGAGGACTTTCTTATGACTCCATGGGCACAGATTTGAGGAGAATAAATTAGACAGAAGAATAGTACTCAAGAATTCAAAGGCCTCTCAATGGAAGAAATAATCTGTTCAGAGTACAGGCAAAAAAGAGAAATCATAAACATAGCCAAGAGAAATTTATGCAGAAATAGCAAGTTCTATTGCTGAGAAATTATAATTACTCAAGTTCTAATGTCATCACCTGAACAAAATGGATGCATATTGCATCATGGCAAAACTGTTATGAGTTCAGAACTATTAACATATCTGGGGTGGGGGCTGTAATCAATTCTTTCTTTTCATAAATGGAAAGGAGATCATTGGCAGATCAGCTTTCCAATCTACCCACCACCCTTGCCCCAGTAAACCAGACATTTCTCTTTTAGAAAGTTGGAAAATGGGGGCAGGGAGGCATAAAAGGGGGCTGGATAGAAGGACAGAGAAATACCATTGTGTGAACAGAGCTCTGCTCAGGGGACATTGCTCTAGCCAATGTCACATCCATGATTTTACTATAGAACAGCACAAGCAACCCAAAAATAGGCTACATATGCAATAGTTTCTCCTAGTATTTCTGCTGGCTCCTAGTGCATGCTGCAAAGCCACAGAACTGCTTTTTAGGAGCCTTTTACTTAAGACAGACAGCACTAACGACCTTAAGATTTGCTGTACAAGAACTAAAGGCTTGCTAGGGTGCCACAGGGCAATGCCAGAAAACATGAAATTTCTCTATTGCATGAGAGAGGTTCATCAGGCATTGCTAGTAGGTATGCCAGAATAAAGTGTTAGGACTTAGACACAAGTTATACAGCTCTATCAATTGCTTTTATGACTTTCTATCTGGACAGAGAAAGCCTGGCACACTAGTATAGTATACTAGTAGCCTCCAGTTAGATTATTGTAATGTGTTTCATAAAGACTACCTTTGAAGACAGTTCACTAAATTCAAATCAGAGATACTAACTAAGATTGGCTGATAGGATCATGCGATACCAGGGCTTTGTCAACTGCAATGGCTTACAGCCTATTTCAGAACCAAATTCAAAGCACTGGTGTTGACCTTCAAAGTCCTAAACACCTTGGGATCAAAGTATCTAAAAAGAACATCTCCTGTATGTACCTGCTCAGATGCTTAGATTATCTTTAGAGGCACTTCTCCAGGTACTCCCACCAGAGGAAGCTGGGCAGGTGGCTACAAAAGAGTAGGTCGTCTTAGCAATTATGGAATGATTGCTCCAAAGACATTTGTCTGTTACCTTTGTTATTTTTTTCGCAGCTTTATTTTCCGCCCAGTCATTTTAAAAACCTAGTTTTAGACTGTATTATACTTTGTTCTTTTAAATATGTGTATTGTATTTGTATTTTACATTACGTTTTCAACAGTTTTTTATAGTATTTTAGTCTATTAATTGCTTGTAAGCTGTCCGCAAAACACTGGTTATTGGTAGATTAAAAATAAAAATAGAATACATATATCTTAGAACTGTTTTTCCGGAATAAATGTTCTAGTCAGTTTTCTCTCTATCTATCATTTCCATATGTGTACATATTTAGAGTAAGATATACAATATTCAACTGAAGAATTTGTTTTGGAACGCTGACATGAAACAACCTTAGACAGTTTTAGGCATACATATCAAGCTTTTTAGTCAGTAAATATATTTTTTCTTAAATTAATCTGAAGAACAAGGTATAATTTTTCCTAAGATCAATTTTATAATTGTATCCTTGTTATTGTGAATTCATAATCAAATTACAGACAATATCCGATATCCATTGTAAAGTGACTATATAGGAATACAAACTAGAAATAGCAATAAGACTATATCTTTAGTTATGTGTCTATTAGATATTGGCCAGAGTAAAGATACATTCTTCAAAACTCTCTCAGCTTCTACATGCAAGCATCTTCCACAAGAGAACAATCCCTTAATATGTTTTGACCATCAATCATTTTATACTAGTCATGGACCTTTTATAGAAACATTTCCAACCATGGGCCCCTGGTTGTGTTGAACTACAACTCTCATTACCCACAACCAACATGGCCATCAGCTAGAGAAAACAGGAGGTATAAGGTGGTAGGAGGTTGTATCTGGAGACCCAAAGTTGGGAAAGGCTGTTTTAAGTTCTTCCCATACAGGCCACAAAACTAAAATTAAGTAAGGCTTTACTTCCTCAAGCTTATTTCAAGTATTGTATGTTCCTGAAGTATAAATGATTTCCACATGGAAAAAATGCTCATAGTACCTTAGAGTACAACAGATATTTGTATCTCCCTAAAACAACAGAGAACACACTTCCTATCTGGCCAGGTTAATTAAAAGAAGAGGATGCTTCCAAACCAGAGGATACAGACCATGAGAAGCAAAACACCAAGCAGAAGAACAGAAATTACCCATGCTGTATAGACAAATGAATAATTTCACTAATTAACAAGGAGCAGCTCATATGAAGTTAAGTTCACATATCACTTACATGTGAGCTTTCATTATTGTGCACAAGAGGGGTATTAGTCCTTATTTTCAGATATAGCCATTTTAAAAACAGCATACATAAAAACACAACAGAACAGCTTATGATATATTATGGCCTTCCAGCAGCACATAGCATTGCAACAGATATACATTATACTGTAATACATAAATAACTCATTCACCCTCTAATACCAGCTTAATAATTTACTATGCTGCTGAATAGTTAAATACAATACTGCCTCTTGTTAACTCTGCACAGTTATTCTTCAGTTCTGAAGCCAAGAAGGCAACAGTACGGAAACCAGAGATTCTGAGGTCTGGTTCAAATCTAAAGTCTAAGTGTTCAATTTTACTCTAACGTGTAAAACAAACATTAACAACCTATGAACATACAAATGTGGTTTACACCAAATGGGACTTACCAGATGAATCTGGTATTGTCTACTCTGGCTAGTAACGGCTGTCTTAGGTATCAGGCAGAAGTCTTTCCAATCCTTGTTATCCAAGATCTCTTTAACTAGAGTTGCTAGAACTGAATCTGTACTTTCTGCATATAAAGCATATGCTTCACCACTATGTTACGTGGTCACCTTCTTAGGCTTACACACACATCCTCCAAGAATGCTGCTTACCATGACGACTGGGGCACTGTCCTCCAACAAGCATTCTTCCTAAGCATGAAGCTGCAGAGATAGACAGGAATTATACAACAGTTATGGAGCAGCAAGGGTCATTAGACAATGCCAACTCTTCCTAGCATACTCCTTTGAAGAGGATATAGAATTACTTTTCTGACTGCATAGTATTTTTTTTTAAGTTTTAGCACATAGTTTTAAGTCAATGCTTTTTTTGCTGCTGTATACAAGTATGGTATAGAGATGGGCTGTTAGCACAAACAGAAGTTGTAAACAGATGCATTTCTTGCAGATCAAACAATTGATTTAACATTATAATATCTGACATATGAGTAGCTAGCTCGTTGCTCTTTAATTCCATTCCGTACAGGCCATGACATAATTTTGGGCATTTTCACAAGCTGAAAATTTCTAAATATTATGCGACATTTTCAAGGGGATGTGTATTTTTTCTCTTTTTTAACTGCAAGCTGCTTTGGATTCTTTCTTTTAAAAAATGAGGATATACATATTTAAAGTAATTTTAAATAATCATCTGAAAAGCCAGTGACCCCAGTTGATTTTACAAGTGCAGAATGGAACGATTCAGATATTAGTGGGCACAGAGCAGTTTGTTCATATTACACCAATCCTGTGATGCCTTTATTTTGCTGTGCTTTATACAATCCACAGGGCTACACATTCTATTTATGGTACCTCTGAGGGGTTTTTTTTAGATTTTTATTGAATATTATTGAATTTCATTGTATTCATTCTGCACAGTTGTGTTTACATTGTTCTACCTGCTAATTTGAAAGGGTTCTACTACTCTTACAGATAGCCTAAAATTAAATACAGTTTACCTCCAGCTTATGAAGAACACAATTTGTGCATGAGACTGCCAGTATGCTCTACAGGAGTCAGACAGACAGGAGAAATGAAACATCATACACTTCTGCAACCACCCAACAGTTCATGCTGCCCATTCAGCTAAATGAGGCAATTAGGAAGTATAGAGTTGGGAAGCAGCAACTGGACAGTAGCAATGAAAACAGAGTTGAAGGACCACCAGTATTTATGTGGAGGAGAGGCAACATTTGCTCCCTGTATGGGTTGTAATGCTGATTCTGTGGTACCAGCTCTCAGTAAGAGTTCAAAAGACTGCAAGTTTATTATTCACTTTAGGTTACGGCTATTAGTTATTTATTGTTGATCAGTTACTTTTGAAGTACACAGTGTACAAGTAAAATCTTTACACAAAACACAGAAATCAAGCATCACATTTGGGAGTGGGGGGGGGGAATGACAGCATATCACAATGCAAAAAAATTGTAGCCTTCCCTTACAAGAGGTACACTTTGAGCTATGGTTTAGTAAATACTAGGACCAATTCCAAAAACATACTAAGAAAGGGAATCCCTGCAACCACATTATTTCATTGCTTAATAATTCAGGTTAGAGAGCCTCTAGTCAATTTGAATTCTTCCAGCTCTTCATCTCACCATCTGAGCAAAGGACCACAAGACTATTAGATCATTGTACCCTTGAGCTATGCAGCATGACAAACATCAGATGCAGAGGAAAAAATAGAAATTCACTTATGGAGGTCAATGAAATTAAGGTTTTGTGAAACAAATACAATGTCCAATGTAGATATCTGCGTAAGAAAATGCCTGCTCAGTAAAGTGCTTTAAGGCCCTAGCAACTAGACCTCCTATCAGTCCATTATTTAACTAAACATCATACTTCATTGGAGGATAAGTTCTTCTTGCAAGAAGAACTGTGCAAGAACTTGAGGAAGAACTTGAGGCCATTTTCAATTGCAGTTGTATATCCATAGGATATTTTTCTTCCCTTTATGTACTAAAGGGAATACAACATTAACTATCTTTGCAAATTTCTTCTCTAATCACTTTGGTTTTGCAATATACTCAAAAAAGGTGAAGGGATAAAAAGAAAAAAATTAAAGAGAGAAGCATAGGGACCAAATTCTCTGTCTAGTTTGAACTGCAAGATATCCCTTTATCTACAGAAATGCGGTATTTAATTTGCAAAAAATCCTTTCAAAATTATCTATTGTGAGCTTTGACTCTCCAATAAAAATGGAGAATTATTAATAGTGAAAGTGTCCTTAACTAACGTTTTTGCCTACTGCTATAAGAGCTTTCAATAAGATCAGTAAATCTGCTTTCCTCCAGGATGATCTTGTACAAGGACGTATTTGGAAACTCATACAATAGTATGATTTGCAAAGAGGTCCAGAGTTTTAATGTAATTAAGACGACAAAGTATGAATTGAGATTCAAGCAGAGAGAACCATGAAAAAGTGAGCCCATGACAAATTACCTCATAATTTTGGTTCAACCACATATAAGAAACAGAATACTAATTCATGTTTGTAAAGAATTTCACAAATAATTTCTCATGTGATATAATGAGGGAACTGCTTTTTGCGGAAAAAACAGGTCTAAAGCCCCCTTAAAAGTCACAAAACTGGCGTTAGTTTTGTTATTACTACTCTTCTGAGTTATATGCAAAACCTAAATAAATATGTGCAAATATACATAGATATGTTTACACTACTATTCTATAGAAACACTAAGGACTATTTCCACAGTAAATAGGGAGGAGGTTTCAGAAGTGGTTAACCCAGTTTTTTTTAACCATTTGCAGATTTGGCAGGTGAGCAGTTAAAGAAACAAAGGCAGGGAATACTGTACATATAACATCAGTAGTTTTCCTTTCAGAGGCCTGCTTATCAATTCTCAAAATGTTTTTAAACTCTTATATTTGAAGGCTAGCAGCTTTACCCAATTTGTCACCATCTTTACATGTGTTGGAATGTAGGCAGGGATTTATGGGAGTTGCTCTTCAACACGTCCAAAGGGCAGCAAGTTGGAGAAGGCTGGGATAGGCAGCTTCCAAAAAGGAAAGTATGCAAAAGAAAGGAAGAAAATAGATAACCCAAATGCTCTTTCTCGCCTTTGAAATATGGGATCTACAATTTTTACAGTGTTCAGTTCTGGTCACCTCACCTAAATAAGGGTATTATTGAACTGGTAATAGTACAGAGGAGGGGAATGAAAATTATCAAGGGGTTTTAAGAAGCGGCTGAATAAACTGGGACTGTGCAGCTTAAAAAAAGGGTAAGTAAGGAGAGATGTGATAAAGGTGTTTAAAAATATACACCAAGTGGAGAAAATGGAGAGAGAGAGAGAGAGAGAGACCTTTTTCCTTCTCCCATAACACTCCAACCTGGGGTCATCAGGAGACTGACTGGAGGTTCAGGAAAGACAAGAGAAAGTACTTCTTCATACATCATATAGCTAGAATTTTCAAGATATGTTTTTCAAGGGTATAAAACTATATAGTCTTCTGCCTTAGACTCTTTAGCATCTTAATAAAATGTCTTATATAAATGATCGTGCTAAACCAAAGGTCCTCTCACTCTTATTTTATTTCCAAGACTTAAAGATTTTATACTACACTATAAGATAGATCAAATAATACACATTTATCTGCACTGTCCCATTAATACAGAGAAACTAGGAGAAAAAAGATAAATGCAAAAAGGGCAGGAAAATAGCATTTAGTCTACTGAGCTAAGCAGTACAGAATTGTACAAGAGCAATAGATTAGAAGCTCTCAACATTCTCACTGTCAAGAGCAAGCAATGACATTTGTAGGCAAAACATTTTAGTATTTAAAAAATCAGCCTTCTGCTGCTTCTTTTTGTGTATAGGTTGTAACTCAAAAGCAAGATTAATGACAAAAAGGTGGCAGTACACAGCTACTGAGTAAGCTATGAACAAACTTTGGTTGCAGGAATTCAGGATGAACTCATAGCACCTGAGCAACCACATATAGGTCCTTATGTATTTTTGCCTAATGTTTTCAAAACTGGGCAAAAGAGAATTTCAGTAGAACATCCCAATAGCCACTTGATATACCCATTACATCAAGAGTGTGGTGTAGTGGTTAAGAGCATGGGACTGGGACTCAGACGATCTGGGTTCTAGTCCCCGCTCAGCCATGGAGCCAACTGGGTGACTTTGGGCCAGTCACAGGCTCTCAGCCCAGCCTACCTCACAGGTTGTTGTTGTGGGGATAAGATGGAGGAGGAGAAAGATGTAAGCTGCCTTGAGCCCTTTGTAGGAAAAAGGCAGGATATAAATCGAAAAATAAATAAATAAATAAATAAAATTACGTACTCCCATAGACACCCATACCAAAGACAGAATCAGCCTTTGCACAAGTTGCCCAATACAGACAAACACTCTTCAAACACTGTGCTACAAACAGATCTTGCTGACACCTGGAATAAGGCACACATAAAAACTCAAGTGTGGTATTTAGGCCATGTTCAGTACTAGGATAAAATGATAGCTAGACAGAATGGAAAAGAGGACATAAGCAGTGGCTTAGCAGCAGCTAACTCTGCATTGATGTAAAATTGCTATTGTGTGTGTGTGTGTGTAGCTGCTGTCCCACATTTATCATTTTACTGATTTTGTCAAATACAAAATACATAATGTAGGTTCATGTTTTCTATTGCAATCAGAGAAAATTCCAAGCACATGAAAAGAGGCTAACAGCATGTGTAGCCTTATATTACCCCAGAAGGGAAAGAACATTTGTAATACACATAAGGTATATATCTTCTCCTTATTCAATGCTTTTCAAGAAGTGAAGTGCTGCCTATAGCATTCTTTGTTTGGGGAACTATGAAACTATGAATAAAGACTTGTAGGCTGTTCTTTCTTTGGTACTTTTATGTACTACATTCCCAAGCATCTCCTTCCCTCTATCCCATATATTTAAACACAACAGAATGGAAATCATGGAAAAGTTTTCTGAGTAGAAAGAAGCTTCCTAACTCTAAGATCAAGATTACAAAGAAGACAACGACGACAATGTAGTAGTAGTAGTAGTTCTGCTCAGCCTCACCAGGATCCAAAGGCAAGTCAATACTTGTTTATCATGAACACACTATCTAGTACAATTAGATTCAATGTAAATATCTGTCCACTCCAAGGGGACCTGTTCTGTTAAGGTAGATAGATCATGTCCCAGTACGAAGTACTATAAAAAAACCAGTATCAAATAGCATTTGCCTGGGAGATGAACATTATAGATTTAAATACACTTCGGTGACAACAGAACACAATATATATAATTTAGCAGTAGCTGAATAGATATAATGTGCATAGTAGATCAATAAGCATATGGAGGTATTTCATAGATAATCAGCTGAAAATGCTCCTTTTAACTAGTGGATAAAATGGTTATCACATTTCCATCTTACATAAAACCAAGGCTGTGGAGACAATACAACTCTCACCTAACATCCCAAGAAATTGAGAAATTTGTCAAATTGTTCCTTAAAAAAATAAAAGATATGAACTACTAAATAGAACAGAGCCAGCTAACATTAGTCTTGGGTCTTGTTCCTCACCACACTCTTTCCTATCATACAAATTAAAACACTTTAAGAGCTCACTAAACAAAACTATAGTGAAAACTAACTAAACAAAGTATTTTAAAAGTCTAACACAAATATACTAAATAAATGATTTTGCCTATGTTTAATAAATTATCCTATGAGGCATGCCATAGGATATATGAAAGCAGAACAACTATCACGCCAATATGTAAACTTAGCAAGAAGATATGTATAACTTTATTCTGAACCAGAAAGCAAAAACTTACACTTAGTCCTTGTACCAAAAGAAAGATCAGACAAATTACATAGCCTAGGTACATAAGCAAGCATGCCTGCATAACAGCATATGACTTGCAAGTCAGTATCATCTTCTGGGGGCATCTTAGCATAGCTCTTACTCATCCCTTTGAATACCTTCATACACTGCCTATAAGCAATTATTTTAAAGAATAATAATGTAACAAATGTAATGCCCTTGTGCCTACAAAAAACAACACTTTTGCTCACCTCTCACTGTAGACTATAGAATGGGTTCCTTCTGATCTTCCTAAAAAAAAAAAGCTGCTGCCGTACTGAAAGGCTTCTTCTTTTGCATTCTTAAGTTGTGTGATAGCATTTTCTACTCTTGCTTCATAAACACCTACAGCTTTTATAATTACATGTGTGTAATCTGTCAATTTATATACTCTATACAAGCTCTGAAAGCGAACATCAGTATGTGCAATGTAGCTAAGAGGTTACATAACCTGCAGATACAGAATGTCCCTACCAAATTTGCGTACATATTTGCTTTGCTACATTTCTCACGCTATAATAAGATAATGAGATAACACATTAAAAGCAAGAATTCCCAGGAACCAATACAGAGAGGGATGTGAATGCGAAGACAATTGCTTGACTTTTACCGAGGGAGCAGTTAGCCATCTCAATGAACGATATCACACTGACCAGAACATGGAAAAAGAAGTTCATTTTATTATGAGAAAAGGAAGAGATAGAAAGAAATCATGTGTTGCTACGGTTTTCTGGAAAGGATCAATTTTTAGGATGCAGTGAGGCCTCAAGTGCCTACAAAAAAGGAAGACTGAAGTCGGAGTCTTTAAACACAAATATCTATGAGGTAATTAAAGCTCCCATAAAAAGCAGTGGGACGCCGGGGAGAGGCGAGGGGCACTTGCTCTAGAAACAAGTATATACAGGAACGAATGAACGAAAGGAAGCTAGTCTTGAGAGAAGGTGGGGGAAAGAGGTATGAATGAGAGGAGGAGGAGGAGAAAGGCTCCTCTCTATTTACGTACCGTGGCGATGCGGGAGGAATACCTATGGGACAAGACAACGCCAAGGACATCCCATAAGGCTTGTAAGTAGGATACGGAGATTTTATGGGAAGCAAAAAGACGCTCAAAGTCAAAACGGCAAAGGGAGACCGACGCACCGAATCACTGGCGGGTGCTGCCCGCGACGAGGTCCAAAGGAAGGGACGCTGTCACCGCATCTCCGCTCCGCGAGAAAGTGGCGGCGCTTCAGGTGCGCCCCCGCCGCGTCCAGTCAGTCAGTCAGTCAACCCCTCCCGCCCTCCCGAGCGCGGTACCTCACTTGAGCTACTGCCAGCCGGAGAGCGGAGAGAGAGACGTGCCTACCGATGTCCTTCGGAAAGCCTGTCAGTAACCTCAATGGCCTCCTCCCTCAGGAGCCCCCGCCACCATCGCTGCGGCCGCTTATGTCCCCTTCGCCTTCCTCAGCCCCTTGCTGCCGCCGCCGCCGCCTCCGGCCCTACTCAGTAGCCCCCGCAACGTAACAAGTCGCCCGCCCATTGGGCAGCGGCCCGCCCCCAACAAACGCAGCGTTCATTGGCTTCCTTCCCTCTCCTGGGCGCGTGCTCGTGATGAGGAGGGAGGGGTAGGAGCGATGCAAGCGGGCGAGGAAACAATTCCGCGCAGCGACTGGGAAAGGCGCCGCCTGTCGGAGTGCGCAGGAAAGGGGCGGGGCTTATAGGACCGGAAGCAGTGGTCTTCAGTCACCCACCTGCGGGTCAGAGCGGAACCTTTGGGGCGGTGCAGGGTTTCTCGGCGAGTTTGGCAGTTAGGAGGACGGAACGGTTTCCGTGTCCGGCTAAGCTCTCTGAAAGACTGGGAAAGGGTCACCGAGCAACCAGGTATGGGCGATTTCGATCACATAGACCGCCTCTCTATCCCTGCTCCCGCTCGCATTTTAAAACTGTTAGAATAACGCCGTAAAGTAATTGAATGTTACCAGGCTGTAGCCTGGCCTTTTCCTGAACGGGGTAGCCGAATACGCAATTGTAGCTTCTGTATCTTAAAATGTAGAGCATTGCAGTAGTCCGTGGAGCATATGTAGTAACGAGTTTTACAGATAAATCTATGATGAAACCCACCTTGTATGGTTGTTGTAAACAATATAACGGGATAAATCCATGCATGCTGTTGGGAGGAATGGCAGGATGCAGTTGCGATACATAACTTCACGTAACATGGCAGAAACAGCAGTGGGTTTGTTTAGTCATGTACCAAACATATATGGTTATGTATTTCCGCGCAGGATAGGGAAAACACAGTTACTGGAAGTGTTTGAGGAGATGAATGTTTTAATGGTTGCATAGTGCAACTATGCATATATACAGATAGCCCCTAGAATTCTCAAAGCAGAATAGCCTAGTGGGAACAGTGAGGGCACATAATAGATTAGACATTAGATTCTTCTGCAAAGGTCTTATGTTTTAGTTGCAAACTTGCATTGCAAGTCACATTTCAGGCAAGGTAGTGTAACAATACAAAATCTGAAAATGCTTAGACAGAAGGGTGCTACTTCAGTCTTGCAGGTCACCCAAGAGAGGGAGAAACTGAAAAGCAGAATTCTAATAGTTGTGTTATTCTTAGGAGGGGCTTTTTAAGGTGTTGGCAGGGAGAGGAGGAGGCAGGAAAGTAACATTCTACCTAATCCATTCCACTGACAGGTTTGGATCAAACCTCTTATCTTAGGAGCTTCACAAGTAGTGACCTGACACTTCAAAATGGCAGAAACAATTTTGTGCCTAGACAGTATCTGAGGTGATACAGTATATTTCAAATTCCCTGATGCAAGGCTGGAAACAGCTCTCTCAGAGGGGAAAATGGGTGTGCCAGTCCTCATCAACCTCATAGCCAGAATGTAAAGAAAGTCTTTGGGCTATTGGGTGGTTTAAAAAGTGTAATAAATAAATAACCATGCCAGCTACTTTCTGGTGTCAAGAAAGGTGAGGGATAAAAGGGGGCATTTCAATGGATGGAAGGAGAGTTAGTTGATTCTGAGGCTTCTCTAGCCTCCTTTTCTCCCTCTCTGACATGCCTGAGCTAAATAAGCACAAGCAAGCAAACTCCGTCTAGTGAAAAATGTAGGACAGAAGAGCAGAGAAGCAATGTTTGTTCCCACTGTTTCTCCCACCCTGCACAGGGTGCTCATAAGCCTCTGATTTTATGGCATACAAACACAGAGTGCACAACCCTTAGGACTCACCCTAATCTACTCAGCCAGCTTTGTTATGTCAGGTGCTTATATGCTTGCTGCAGCCCCTGGAAGCTTCCTTATGGCTAAACTATAGGACAAATTCTATGAGTTTGGGAAGAAACAAAAAGTGATCTTTTCTTTTTTCTAAGAAGGTCTACTTAGACTTCATGAGCAAGTGCAGGAGTTTGCAATTAGATGTGTCTGTATTTTAAGCCACTGTGCCATAATGAGAGCCAGTGGTGTAGTGGTTAAGATCGCTGGACTGGGACTCAGGCACCCTGGGTTCTAGTCCCCAAGAACCCAGGTGACTTTGGGCCAGTCATAGACTCTCAGCCCAACCTACCTCACAGGATTGTTGTTGTGGGAATAAGACTGAGAGCAGGAAGAAGAGAATTGTTTAAGCCATTTTACACCTGTAAGAAAAAATGCAGGATCTAAATCTAATAAATAAATAAATAAAAGTTAAAGTGTTGGATAGGAACTTGCAAGATCTAGTTATCGTCCCAGTAGTCCATGAAACTCACTGGGTGACTTTGGGCCCATCACTGACTGTCACCCTAACTTATCTCCCAGGACTGTTGTGAAGAAAAAATTATGATGGAGAATTATATGAACCACTTTGTGTTCTTTGCAAGAAAAAAGGCAGCATATAATTATTTTAAACAATCTCTAGCACTTGGATGCTTATGCCTTTTGAGGTACTCCTAAACTGAACATTCTTTAGTCTTTATTTCAGGTGTGGATCTAGTGTCCATCTTTCTGTACTATTGTCGACTACCTGTGATCACTTTTGAGTACTTGGAATCTGCAGCTGGTACTCAGCTGTTGGAGGTGGCATGCTTCAGACCTACTACATTGCTGAGCATGTACACTGGTTGCACATGGTGATTTTTGACCCGTATGAATTAAATGACTCATATCAACATATATTATGACTCCTTTATATGTTTTCCCACTGTCCCAAAATTCCAAGGTGTAATGAAGCATATATACCTGTAACATTTGGAAGCCATACAAATGTTGACTTTCCTCTCTGCTACAAACTGGATGCAGCAGCCAAGAATACCATGAGCTGGGCCAACCACCAGTTCTGCTTGTGCAGACAGTGAGTACTGCTTGCCACCAAGAATTTGGCTGTTCTGTTAAGAAACCCCAAATTGATGAGGATAGCTCATTTCTGGATCAGTGCAAGTTGCTGTAGCCGCCTTATGCTAGCTCTGCCAACCTGCCCAATTCCAGAAATGAATGTTTTTGCTTGTTTCTGTTCCTAGAGTAACTGCTAAATCTCCATTGCACGAGTGGTTGGTGCTGCTTCTGGCTTGCACAATTCTGTACTTGGATACTGCCCTGGTTACTTGTGGCATTCTAGTGAATATGAAAGGGATGATGTAGTTGTTTGTAACAGAACATTTAATTAAGGTTAAGAAGTAACAACCTCTTAATTATTTCAGTGTTCTTAAAGAATGAGTCCTGGTGACTGCATATCAACTAAGAAACTTTAAGTATTTTCTCAGGACCTGGCCATAGCTGCAGTCTTGATGTGGGCAAGTTGATTTGAAGGTGAAACCAAACAAAATGTGAATGATATTGATTGGATGCAGATGTGTTTCTTCTCTAGCATCCACCACCTCAGTTACTCAGCTTTGTAGCTTCTGAGTGCTCTTGCATTTCTCCCTGCATCAGAAATTCTGAGTGGTATTACTGAGTGGTATTAAATACTGAGTAGTATTATATTTCCACTCAGTTTCAGAAGCACTTAGGACAGTGTGCATGGTTCTCTTCTCCCTCACATTCTACTCACAAAGCAAACCTGTGAGGTAGATTATGCTGGAAGACTCTATTGTATTTGTGATGGCAGCAGCAAAGGACCTTTCACCAGGCCTCAAAAGACTCAAAGAGTTTCATTCAGATCGAGGAGCCCTCAGATAGCTTCAGCTGTTGGGCAGTATAAAAATGAAATCAATCAACAAGAACGGGAAATCTGTAGCACTCCAGCTGTTGCACCCCAATAACTTTCATTGTCACTGTCCTTTGGCTATGCTGGCAGGGGCTAGATTCCCCATCTAGCAATCTCTCAGCTGGAGGCTGACCCTGGTGTCAACTGGCTGGGGCACGCTGGAAGTTGTAGGACGTGTTTCTATCACAGGATTGTGCCCTAAATTATCTTATCCAACTGTGCAATTTTATAGATATCTATACAAAGTCTCATAGTTTTCAGAAGCTTACTTGGGGGTATGTATTTGATTGTAGCCCTAAGTGATAAAATACCTAGCCACAATTTGACAATTTTTGACCAATCAAATGCCCAGCCCTAGCTAAAACACAGATTCAGTAGCATAGACTGCAGGGAGGGAAGGGTGTACAATAGGGTAATATTAGAAGCTGTTCCTGTTCCAAAATGAAACATTCCACCCTATTTTTTTCTAGAATATAATGGTTATTGAAGAACTTGAAGCCTTGTCACTATTGATCAAGTCTTAGGCTTCAGATGACAGTTTATATTCCTAACAAAGCACCCATTAAAATACTTCCTAATTTATCAAAATAAACATGCTGATATGTCCAACTACATTTGTTTGCATAGTTCCATACTTCCAAAATCTGAGTCAAATGAATGTTTTTAACAACAGAAGGATGATGGTCTGTAAAACTTCACTTTGCAATTTCCTTTATGTACAGATCTGGAATATCACTAATTTGATTTGGTACATCTTGTTTGCAAGTAATTGGTGTTTCATGATATTGCACAGCAGGTCTTAGAATACAAATCCTTTAAAGACTAGATTAAGATTGTAACTAATAATGCATATTAAAATACAACTTGCTGTAGTTTAAACTACTGAATAATATATTTTCACTTTTGAAGACAACTTTCCTCTTTCCTTGATTAGTTTTGAAAGACAGAATGCTATTGCATATTTGATGTAGCTGTGTGTATGGGCGTGTGCGCGCACATGCAAATATAGCACAGCAATCCTTCTGTGAGTAAACGATATGAAAAAATCTAAATCTAATACAATCTAATATTTAAAAAATAATACAGAATTTATCATATTGATTTATATAATTGCATTTTGAATTAGATTTAAATGTTTTAAAAACTGAATTAACATATATGGAGTCCTTAGGAAAAATCCGGTTCTTCTCTATTACCCATTTTTAAATCATGTTCTAGCACGGCCAAAATACGAATCTCAAAAAACTCCCAGGTAATAATAGGCTCAGTTATCTGTGGCCTCCATTACTTTTTATGAAACAAAGAAAATAGAGTGCAGTTGCAGGAGGCAGGGGTGAGTCAATTTTGCTTCTTCCTTGCTCAGTAAATTGAGAGCACTAAGGATACATAACCCTTTTTTACTCTCTCCCCATAAATGTAACCCTGTGGGAAGAAAAGTTAAGCTAGTTGCAGTAGCAGCAGATTTCAAGCCACTTGCCTAAATCAGTTGTTCTTCAGGTATGGCACTTATTGCTCTCACTGCGTTAATATCTATGTCATGCACACCAAGCTGTGTCAAAAGCCATTTTACATAGGCATATTTGACTGTGTCTCATCTACCCCGCTGTTCTTTGAAGTATGAGAGGGCATTTCCCTTCATAGTTTAAACTTTAAAGGGTCCGACTGTGATTTGGGTGCAATCTCTTGAGGCTGAGATTACCTTTGCACTGATATTTGCCAGGTGAAATGATAATATTTATAAATAAGGAAGGACTAGTATTAATAACCAAAGATAGCTGCATTGGTCATAAGAAAATGTCTGTATTAGGATTTCCAGACACCATATTCCAAAAACTTTTACTAGACCAGCCCACTGTAGGATAAAATAAAGTTTTGTCCACTAATATTACTGAAATTCATGCAATTTGATGGGACAGGCAAGCAGGTCAGGGTTGTGGATAGGAATATCTTGTGGGAGTGACTTAAAAAATATTTTCTAGAAACATGGGACATGGACATGAACACAGCAAAGTGAAGCTTCCTGATTATAGAATGTGGAAGATAGAAGGTACTCCCTTACAGACGGTCCAAGAAATGTTGGCTCGTCGGGGTCTCAAGGATCCGTGGCTTCGGTAAGAGTTGGCAGAAACGCTTTCTTTCACTTGCTTGTAGCAGCGGCAAACCTGTAATATGGTATATGATCTATCTTTTCAGATTGAAGATATGGGCACTTCTGCATAGAATCACTTACACAATAATGTAGGTTTAGGAATAATCCACCGAGACCCTTCACAGTGGGGCTTCTTATCTCGATAGCAGTAGCTCCTTGTCCTACACTGGAAGATGTGATACATCTTTGCGCTTAAGAATCTGAGGGAGCCATCCCATGGTCCCAGATAGAGTCTGAGGGACCGTCAGATATTTTGCACATCCCAACCTGACGGGGAGACAGCATTCCAACTTTGAAGATGTGTCTTGGTATTCCACCTCCCCTCCCCAGCTATGGGGAAAGAACTGTACCAGCTGCTCGCCCAGGTTGGGAAAGCAACTCAAATGGGCAAAAGGAAGATATTTCATGGGCAGGGAACAGAGGAGACTAGAGAGAACAGGATGCCTCTCCAGTTTCCCTCCTTGCTCCTTCAAAGCATCCCAGCTGGATGAGCAAAAAAGCCAGCCTAGCAAAGAAGCGAGTGCGGGAGAATGCTGCTTTTTCTGCCCTGCATAGGATAACCATAAGCTTCCAAGTTCAGGGGATTACAGTCAACAAGGGCACAATCCACAGGACTGCATGTTTTGGATTACAAGTTCCAGCATTTGTCCTCATTGGCCATGCTGGTTGGAGCTGGTGGGAGATTAAGGGCATCAGGATGGAAAAGGTGGGTCTAAGGTATGTTGAGGCTTAGTTGTGCAATTTTAAGTGAGATTCTGTTGACACAGGAGGGGATGCTTGTCCCATGTGAGACCAGCATGGAGCTTTTCAGAACTTTTGCATTGACCTTAATTATGAAGGTCTTTTAAGGAGCCATGGGCTCAGTGCAGGTACAATTGCAGCAGGAATAAAATAATATTCAACTTAGTAGTGAAGAATTCTAGTCATTTTGAACTAAACCTTGTCCCTTTTGGTCAGGTAGGATGGAAAATGCTGTACTGTGCATTATTTCCTAACATAATGCCTGATATTTCTATTAGCCCCACAGTCCTCTGTGTTTCGATATTAGCATTATATTTTTCATTAGTAATCTGGCCCCAAGTGTCACTTATTAATAATTATCTAAATAGAACCCAAGTGAAATCTGCTAGATGTATAACCACTGAAGTTCTTCAGGTATCAGTATGATGCAAAACAGTATCTCTTACACAGTCTCTTCAGCTTGCTGCAGCAGAGACTACCTGCCTCAACAGCACAAGGGAGTTCTTCGAAGATAGTATAAGCTTGGATCCTGGTGACTCATAAGATGAAGTTTCAGATAATACCTGTAAAGATTTTTCTGATATTTCCAATATAGATGCTCTGATATGTATTTCAACTCAAAAGCCTTCCAGTATAGCTTACAAATAAAAGAAGATAGTCCCTCCCTCCAGTCGTACAATCCAAATAGGCACAACACACAAGCAAAGAGGAATGGGGAGGGAAGGGGAAAGAATGTTTACCTACTGGGAAGTAATCTTTCCGTGTCAATAACTTAAAACTGCTGTGCATTTGTAAGCACAAGGTCAATCTCCTTTAGCGCTAGAATAACAGTGCAATGCAATGAATATCTATTAAAAAATAAATCTCAGAGTGAATGCGGCTTAGTCCCAAACAAATGAGTACAGGATTACCATCTAAATCATTAGTAGTGATTTAGTAACTTCTGTTTGTCTGATGGCTGTACTTGTTAATTCACAGGGCAGGATCCAACAGAGCGCTTAGACCCTGCCAATTCCATTGCACAAACTGGCCCACACCACTTGCACAGCGGTGATCCCGTGCTTCTGGCAAAACACTCATCTCTGACAGGAGGCAGGTTGGTGGAGCTTGCATAGGGGAGTTCCACTGACCTGCCTCCTTCCAGGAACAAAGATCTCTGCTTATTTCTGAAACTTCTCCTAAGAAGTGCTAAATCTCCCATATGCAAGCAGCGAGTCCCACTTGTGCAGTGGAACTGGAGGGACCCTCCACTTGCAGAAGGAAATCAGTAAGACAGAAAGGAATTAGCAGGAGCGTAAGCATCCTACTCGATTCTGCCCATGGTGTCTGAGTGTTAAGTACCAAGTGAGCTACATAGGACTTTGGAAAATGGGATGTTATAAAATCTAGCAATGGCATTTCACTATGGATAATCTGAAAAATGTTCCCATTATGACTTTAAAACATATAAAGAGCTGTTATTTCAATAATTGTATCATTCTAAAGTGGCACCAGAAGCTCAATTAGTTTAGTACACAGTCAATGAAAATTATATGAAGCCTTGTGAATATTGCTATGTGGATTTGGATTAGAGGCCACAAACCATAAACCAGGACACAAGATCTGCAATTAAACATTTCTGTGCACTCCCATAACCTAATGCATTTAGGCAGCGGGGAGGAATTGGGAAACTTTCATTCCATGAACTTCCTTAAATTGACTGTTCTTAAGCATAGTTGCCACTTTTCATTGAAAAAATTGCTTCAGAATGCCTGGATTCACGCATAACTGTAACACATAGAATAGGTTGTTGAATTCTGGATTGTTGTGCTATCATGTGTGAATGCAGCTGCACTAAACAAACCAGGTTTGTTAACCACTAATAGCCTGGGAAGAAAACCCATTGTTTGTTGATGGGTGAGCTATCAGTTATTTAAGCCATGCATCATTATCTGTGAACCTGGAACTGTGAGTTGTTTTGCCGAACTACAGAGGCAGTGGGCACAAGTGAACCCCTCCCCTCAGCTGCTTCTGTATGCCACTTCTGCAATGCTTCAAAGGAATTTGAGAAAGAATGAGGCGTGAGAGGGAAACAACTGAAAGACTGAGGAAATAAATCACAGTTTGTTCAACTGTTGGCTACACAAATTGTGGGTATAGACTGTAGATCAAATAAGCCAAGTGTTACATGGAAACTAGATCAGTGTGCTATTAAACTTGGAAGTGAGTACATAAGAGATGCAGAAATTTTGGTTTTCATCTTTTATTTTTGTTTCTATCTAGCAATGAAGCGTGGAGGTACATGGGTGGCTATGCAAAACCTATCACTTTACTTGAAGTTCTCGGCAAAGGATTCAAATGGGGATTTGCAGCCTTTGTAGTAGCTCTTGCAGTTGAATATACTCTTTTCCCGCCAAAGAAAGATGAAGGGCATCACTGAAGACTCTTATTATGAATCAATAGCATTTTCTGACTTTGCATGAAAAGATGCATATTAAAGTTCTTAAAGACATATGTCTATGTACTGTCTTTTTCTGATAGGAGATGGGATTGAAACTCATCCAAGCAGCCTCTGATTGGTAGACCCTATGTGTTTGACTCCATGTACTGCAGTCCCAAACCATTTAGAGCTTTATAGCTTAAAACGTGCATCTTGTGTGGGCAATATCTCCCAAGCACCAATGTCTGGAACCAGCCATCCAAGTAGGAACAGTTGAATGCAGTACCACCCATTCCTAGATAAGATAGTTGCCCAAGAAAGAAGTTGGTTAATGATGCTGAAAGCCAGCAAGATATCCAGGATTATCTAGAGGGTCACACTTGCCCTATTTCTCCCCGACCTAGGTCATCATACAGGGTGATCAAAACTGTGTCAAACTGGCCTGAACTCTAGCTGAAATGGATTCAGCTAACTGGTCTCACCCAAGCTGATTGCCCACCAGTAGTGAGGGACAAGGTAGAAATGCTTTTTAACAAGCAAACAAACAAACACAAACAAACAATAGTTTGAGGACCTTGCCCAGGAAGGGAACATTTGCCACCATCCTAAAGTTGTTGGGATTGTCTAGGTTCAGGAAGAACTTCAGGAGTGGTCTCCCCATCTCCTTCAGGCTCCTTCAACACGGGACTGCTCCCTTTTTCAAGGAGGTATTTATCACCTCCCTAGCCTCGCCAGCTGTTCCCTCTCTTTAGAAGCCAAGAGAGGCACGGTTCCAGTAAGGAGTCGGTTGCACAAGTCTGTCTGAGCATCTTGTCAACATCCTCAAGCTGGAGCAAGTGAAATGTATCAAAACACTGGACCTGGCTGTGCTCCAGGCACCTTATCTGATTCAAATGTTAAGAACTCAGACGTTTCAGCCCAAGCAAATGCTAGGCAATTCCAGGACAAAACCCCTTGCAAGTATGTTACAGTGGGCCTAGGATAGGTTTACAGGGTCCTTAGGGGCAGTATCTAGTAGGCCCCAAATGGTACTAAAAAGCTCAATTGGGCAGCACATAGAACACTGAATGGAGGCTCTGAGATGCTGTTTTGTTGCTGCTGTCACTGCCCCTAAGTATATCTGACGATAGGTACATATCAGGACTCAACTGCATACACTAGGATTTTGTTCTCCATCTATACAAGCTGTCCCCTGTTTATTCAGTTTTATCTCTGGGGAATACCATGCAGCCGTTTGAGCTCTACTACAGAGCAGGTGCTGCACTATGCCCTACCCTGAAAATGTTTATGATAAGGCATTGACCTTCACATGGAACATCTGTAAGTTAAAAAGTGACCTTCTGCATTTTACAGTGTGTGCCTTGTGGCAACAATTCCATCATGACAGCGCTATCCTTCAAGACCTCAAACCTCTTCAGATGTAGTATTATAAATTCCGTTTTCTACAGAAAATAGCGGATACATCTTTTTCTGAAACAATGTTAAAAGGAAAATGCAAATACAGATCAGAATAAATGCCGCCTCTGAAGGATGCAGACAAGGACTGACTGTACTAAGCCGAACATAATCACATTGCCACCCACATGCATATTTTCATAAGGATTGCAAGGCGTTGGGGAAAGAGCCGGATCTGAACTAACGCCCTGAAGAATTACACTGTGGTCTAAACGAGGATATATAAAAGTTTATGACTCTCACTTTGTCTGAAGAAGCAATGCAAGGTTAAGCAATCTTCCTAAGATCCTTTTTATACATTACTGAGGACAAGTCCCAAGAGGCATGCACTAATAATATACGAGGAAGTCCTAGATCAATATTTCCCAATTAAGCAGCTTCTAGATGAGCTAGATTGCAACTCGCATCATCAGTGACCATTGCCTGTGCTGCCTGGAGCTGATGAACATTCTAGGCCAGTGATGGCGAACCTTTTAGAGACTTGAGTGCCCAAACTGCAACTCAGAACCTACTTATTTATCACAAAGTGCCAACACTGCAATAAAACCTGAATTTGCTGACCACCAGCACAAGGGGGTAACGTTTCACTGGCCACCAGCTTTTGGGCAGCCCTAAAAAAGGCATCTGAGTGTATTTCCTACCTATCTTACCTTCTGCTAAAATCACAATGGATTGTGCAGACTCGAACCCACGACCTTTCAGTCAACCAGCCCAGCAGCACAGCAGTTTAAGCCACTGTGCCACCGACCTCCCACTAAAATCACAGTCCATGCAAATCCCTGGCAGCTCACTGACCTGCCATGCAAAAGCTCTGCAAGTCGCAACTAATGAGTGATGTGGTTGCCTGGCACCCTAAATCTTTCCAAATATGTGCATGGCTGCTGGGGCGATTACACAGAGAGGGCTCTGCATGCCCCTTTGGGCATGGGTGCCATAGGTTCGCCATCACTGTTCTAGGCAAAACATCCTGAAGGCAGTAGGCTGAAGAAGGCGCTCTTCCCTGAAGTTAAAAGGTACAATCCAACCAAAATGATTCTACTGATTTGAGTGGGAGAATGTGCTTGGTGTAGGCATGATCAGTTGGAATTAATGTCTGCTTTCCTTTGTGCCCATTCTAGTTTTCCAGTGAGCCAAGAAAGGCCTTGGAGAATGTTCAGGTCTATGCAAATCTTAAATGCAGGTGGTGAATCAATGATTGTTTTATGTAGCCAACCAAGTCCTGCTTTCTCTTTTCCTCTACAGCACAGGCAAGCTAAGCACACCATTTTTAGTACCTGCTGCTAGAAGCAACAGCTTCTGTTTCTAGTTGCCTCTTTCTGACCCTTTATGTGTATCCTAGCCCCCTTTCAACGGTATGATTCTGTGCTATGCCTGAGCATAATACACAGCCTGCTGCCATTTTGAAAGAGGCACTCATCATCTCTTCATTGTTGGTGGTTTGGTAAAAATGTGTTATTCCTGCACTAGGGATGCGGAGCGATTTCCCTGCTGGGAAACCAAATTTAAACTTCCAGTAGCCTTTCCTCCCCTTTGCACTACATACAACTCTGCAACATCAACACCACAACTTTATTTCTTCAGTTTTATTTTTTCCCCTCTCATTTCTCTCTTTAATTACAGAAATAAGCAAATTGGCATATGACGGTGTTAACTGCAAAATGTGTAAATGGTTATCTATAAAGAAGTTAAAGAACAGAATTTAACATATGCCACTGATCTAAAAGAAAGAAACCATGGCAAGTGGAGGCATCCTCACATGCTTGGCATCACCAGCTGTATAACAGGGAAGGGAGAGATTTATTTAAAACAAACCCTGAAGCAAGTGCTGGTACTGGATTGGCCCTGTCAGAATAATGCTGTGGAAATTATTAAGGTTGGCCAAGTAGTGTGGCAAACTCTCCCAGTGTCCAAAAGGCAGAGTATTTTTTTGAGCCATGCCAAAGCCTTATGGCCCTCAGCTTGATGGGATGAGCACCAGACCTAATAGCCTCGAAGCTGCTTTGCCCAAGTATGTTCCTTAGATAAGAGCTACTTTTGTTTGGAACAACCAAAAAAGCTTCCTTTACTGAAGCAACTTTGCTCCCTGCATCCCCATCCCCACTACCCAGGAACAATGAGAGAAAGGAATTTCATAAAATCCATGGCAAGAGGTCTTGTCCTATATTCTCAGCTGGGAAAGAAAAACTGGTGCTCATTGCTCCCCCAGGCTACGTTAGAGGTTCATTGATATCCAGCCTATCTTTAAGAAAACTGGCCATAGCAAGGATCTGTTCTGCTTAATCAGTTCAATGTGCAATCTCATTTGGGGACTCATTTGAGAGGTGTAATTTATTCATTTGCTTCTATCTCATGTGCAAAAGTTTGGGTAATATCTTCAGTTCCTAACTGCCCTTTGAAATTGGACAGAAAGGCTGGGACTTACCTAAGCCACATAAGTAATCTCCATAGCTGAAGTGCAATTTGACTATGATCTTCCCCCAAAAGAGACCCAGAAAACTAGTTTTGTTGTGAAACTGCACCTGGACGGACAAAGCAGCATGTTTGACATGTTGCATTTTGCTTCTCCCAAACATTTTTTAAAATTGGCCACTCTCAGAAAAGCAAAAGCATGGCTGATGCATCCAAAGCATCCTCACTATGCTCTAGACGTCAATAAATACATTTGCACTGGCATTGGTGCACTGTATACCAGCCAATAGCTTGGTTTCAAGTGGACATCCATAAAAGATTTTTTTCTGGACTGAGTGGTGTGGACCAAATTTTCTTAGTCATGAGGACCATCATCATGAAAAGGAGTGACCTTAGGAACCTATATTGAAAGCTGTTACTTTTATTCTTATAATATTTGCAGGCTTCCATTTGATCCAGCCTCTACCTTGCACTGTACTTATAAGATGGATGTGGCATACAGGCTTGTACCATAAGTTTAAACCAAGATTAAGAACCTGTGGCCCTCCAAACAGCAACATAATGTGTCCCTCTACCTGAAGCATGAGGGATGTGCCGCCAGTCACCTCACTGTCACTGGAGAGCCCCCCTTCCCCAGAATGAAAGACTTTCTTTAGGGGGGGCGGTCTCTCCAGAAAGCCACCCTGGCCCAACTATAATGCTATGATGATTTATTTATTTCTATACTGCCCAATAAGTTCTCTGGACAGTGGCCAACCATAATATATGCAATGAAATACAATATAGAAAAATACAATGTACGTCGTCCTTCAGAGTAAGGCATTGAGAAATGGCCCAGAAGAGAACCTGACTGCTGCTTGGAAGAAAGCTCAGATGCCGGGTGGGCGTGCTGCTCCGAAGAGGGCTGCTTAATATTTGCTGTTGCTGCCCCCAAGGGTCCTCTTAGGGGGTGGAGATGTGATGCCCATCCCTCCTGCTCAACTACCTGCGCCCTGATTCATGAGAAGTTGGCCCTGCCTCCAGATGATGCTGGAACCCACCTCTGCATAGTGAATGGTAAGAAGAACTGCAAGTTGGAAGCTGAATCTGACAACATCTGGACAGGGCAGCCACTGTTTGAACAACTCTGATATAAACACTTCAAAAGGTGCTATAGAGATGCGATTGTTATTCAAAAGGGTCAATGTTCTCTCCTTCTGAAACTTGAA